TATAAATACCAGCGGTGTTCATAACTTGAATAAATGAGACTTAAAAGATTGAGTTGCTAATTTTGCCAATACCAGCATTAACTATAACAGCTTTCAACTATTATTCAGTATTAAGATGAATTAATAAATTATTTACTGATTATACATAAATATATTATATAGTGCGATGGAATCAAGTAAATGAATTCTTACCTCAAATTAGATCAATATTGCACAGTTCATTATTTTAAATGTTATGCTATATTTAATAATGTATTAATGAGGAAGAACAATATATATATAATTAAAACATCCATTCATTAATATATTTTTTCTAATTTGGTGTTTTACTTTCATAAAAAGTCAGCTTACGTCTCTATGATGTAACATACACACATCCTGATGTAATATACCTACCCCTGATAGAGTAAAATTCTGCACGCGGATTTATGAAACTTTGTTTTTAAGCATGAATCTATCATATTTATTTTACTTGTATAAAAAATGTAAAAACATTTTTTAAACAGAAAAATGAAATAATTAAACAACGAGGATAATTCAGAAGTCAAACAACAAAAATCAGCGTTATATCAGTGTTGTTGTTTGACTTCTGAATTAGTATTTATTCGGCGTGTTATTGTGTCTTAAACGAGGATAATATTTACACAGAATTCACTAACAAATTTTAATTCGCACCTTACCTGTATGCCTCATTCGTCTCGAACATGCTAATGAACTATAAAGAACTAATAACATAATGCACACTTATAAGGCAAGCATTTTATAAAATTAGGGAAATACTTCGTAATCGTATGAGTTATTAGATCAACATTTATTGCTTGAGAAGAAATTAGAATTTCAACACAATTTAGCTTGATTGATAAGTTAAGATTTTGAGCTAGCTTCTAATTGTCGATCGGTACCATTAGCCTCGCTTAGAAAGATTTAGAATGACAAATACATCGACTGTTAAAGGACACTTTGTTCCACTGTCAAGTCAATCAGCTGATATTTTGTTTTGTAATATTTTACTTTACTCGTCACAAGTGGTGTTGTAGAATAAATTTAAATTAGATGTTTGTTGTTTTTGCTATACCATCATTTAGTTAAGCCATCAGTGGCAACTTACCCGTTAGCTTTTAAGTAACAGTTGACGGATGAAAGTAGAACTTGAGATAGGTAATAAGCAGAAACAGTCTTATAAAGTTGTATCAACAGGAAGATCCAAATAACGAAACTTCAGTTATCCAAATCGTTTGCTCTCCTATTAAAAGAATCGTTTTTTCAGATTAATTAATCTTGTTATTTATTTATTTATATTTAACGTTTTCGTTATTTTAAATATTACAGAAAGACTGCAAGAACATAAATTGAACACATAATCGATTTTAAATGGTAGGAAGAATGTGGCATATTTTAATTGCTCCAAATCAACCTTCATGAATCGGCTATTAGAAAAGCATTTTCATGTTAAAACGGAAGACCGTTCATAAGGTCTTTCTCTAAAATCATGAATTTATTGCAAAACATAAGAGAAAAAAATTAACAATACGTAGTATATTGCAAATGTAAATTTTTTAGATTTGTACAAGTGGAAATAATTTGTTTAATTTTAATTGAGTAAATATAAATAATAATAAAAAATGTGTTTAATTTTTGAATCTTTATAATTGTTCTCTTTCATTTGGAAGAAGAATGGGTTAAGGGAATGAAAAAGTGATTTCATTATTCGGTCTGATCAAAAAAGTCTTTTGTATTTGTTTAAAGCAGTAATAGTTCTAATATTTTGACTGTAAAACTCGATAAACTTAAAATTAAAAGCGATAAATTAAAGCAAAAGATTTTCTCATAGTAAATACATGCCTGGTCTACAAAATAGAAGATCAAACATCCTAATCTTTTTAAATATCCGTATATGTAATAAGATTGGATAGGTGGATAGATAAGATTGTAATTCTAATTAACGAGTTTTATTGCACCAGTAAATTAAAATAAATATGAAGATGGCTTCATTATCTATATTATGAGAAATGTAAGCGGTAGAAAATTCTATGTTTGATGAGGACTGGAGTTGCACTAAAATTACTCTCTTTTGTATATATTGCCCATGTTAAGAAAAAAAAAAAATTATCGGCTCTGTTTTTTCTATTTGGCGAAACAGTTAGTCGATGATTTTCGAGACCAAGCATCTGCGCGTCTAGGAAGACCAACAATATCAGTTACAGACGAAAGGCTAAATGGCAAGCTCCATACTATAAGCTTAATTAGGACTACGAACATAATGAAGACTGTTAAGCAAGGTACATTACAGGAACTTAAAAAAGATCAAACTAATTTCTATTACAATACCTCTTTTCAAAGATCTAACTTTCAATTCAATCATATGAAATAAAAAAGCCTTCAGAAATTATTTTTCTGGAAACCATGTTTATTTGGGAAAGAGACTACACACTGAAATAATAAACTATAACTTCCGAACTTAAATAAGATAATATTATTGCTGATAAATATACAGACATTTCAACATGTACAGCAGCAATTTTTATTTGCCCTGACAGTTATTTTTACATCTTAGATTATTAAGGTACATTGAGGAAAAAGGAACTGTTTTTTTATTCATAATTCAGACTTGAATGATACTACTAACTTGAATTTAGACTTGAATGATACATAACGAGTGAAAATGACTAAATTCTTTAATAGTTGCGACTATCAATTGCGTTTCAGTGTATTTATGAGGTTAATGAAAAAATTCTAGATATTAAATTCCAGTATTTACCACTAATAAAAAAAAAAAAAAAAAAAAAAAAAAAAAAAACCGCAAAAATATTCAAAATTTTTCATTCATCAATGCAGATATTAGTTTGTAAGAGAAATTCTACTAAATTTACTACAAACACAATGTGTGAAAAAATTTGGTTGCATCAAATAAAACATTATTAACATGTTTGGTAACAATATTTATTTCTTATAACATTGATCTAAAACAATAACGAAAGACAAGAGTAACAAAAATTATGAATAATAGTCACAATAAATCGCAACCTCCGTTTACAACAGTCGGTGGTAATAAGGTTGCGTTTTATTTTCCCCAGGAAAAAAATTCTGAAAGAAAAACACCGGACATTTTGAAATAAAAGAATAACCTTCTAAAAGGAATTATTACAAATTACATCTTTCAATTGCAACTAATTGACAACAATATACGATTCAAACATAAAAGAATACGTAATTTAAAGAAGACTACAAATGTTATTAACAAAATGTTATGATCTGTATTTACAATAATAAAAATATTGATGACATTCGACCGACAAATATAATTCTTTCTTAATGTTTGCAATTTTTAATTTTAATCCGAACAATTTTTCATAAAAAGCGTTACAGTAATTATTCATTTTTAAACACAGTACTCAATTTATTCATTATAATTTTCATTATACAATATTGCGTAACAAATTTATCTAAAAGTATAAAGTAATTTTTAACAGTATTTTGTTTAGTTCGTATATTTAACACGTTTCTTAAAATATAAAAAAATGCTACAGCTGATAATTTTTCAGCAAGTTATTTACTAACAAATAATTTAGTTTTACGAACAAAATTATGATAATCACCTATTATAAACAATTTTATTGTTTTAATAAAGTTTTAGTTTGAACGATTTTCATAATCTCTGTGTTCTAAATTGAGTTAAAGTTTAAAATATCGATTTTATTCTTTAAAAATATGCAATGATGCATATAGGTACAATTTTATTGCTGCAATGTTTGATCAAACTTTAACTGATGAATGAAACATGAAAGGTTTAAGAATAAAAATTTCTAAACTAAAATGTATTTCGTCCTTTCTCAATAATAATATCAATAGGAATTTTCCAGTAAGATGTATCGTACTTCCAAATAGCATATTATGTAAGTAATACATTTCAATATCTTGAAGGAAACATTTATATTTAAGAAGGACTGGTAGCTGTTCGAAATCAAATTTACTTCAGATTTCAAAATCAATTAAGAAATATTCTTATTTTTTCTAGTCAGATTCAACTTTTCACTCGTACTCAAGCCTAAGTGAGCTTAGAAGAAGATAAAAAGTAATTAATTTTAATTATATGCCTTCAAAACTGAAGTATTTTCACTGTGTTATACTGTCTTGCATTTTTGTGACCAGCCGAAAATTAAAAATTTTAAAAAATATCTCTGTGTAATAGTTTACAAAAATTAGGCTTTTAGTCAAATTATATCATTTTTCTTTATATAGATGCATAGGTTAAATACTGATAATAAAATCATCATTCGTCTTTAACTAAACTAGAATATTTGATTACTTTGAAATGAATGATTATTGAAGTATGCTTATATTAGTTACTATCTGATTATAGATGAGAATTTAAATCTTACCCGATAATGGAGATTGCTTAAAGTATCAGAAAAAATATATACTTTTCAAAAGAAAAAGTTGGACTAAATGTAAGATGAAACCTCTCGCGGCAATCAGCCGTTAGAGTGATTAATCTTTCGCAAACTATACATAAATATCATGGCTTTAAACAAACTATCTTCACAGAAGATCAAAATCAACTAAAACTGCGGAGGATGTTAGGTTTCACTGAATACATATAAAATTTCATAAATATTAAAAGAGAGAGATTTTTATTGATGATATATTTATTTTGCATTGAAACAATAAATGGAATTGGAATCAAATTTTCACACGAAAGTTTTTAGTTATTACTAAGTGTTCTTTCTGTAAAAATAATTTTAATTTAGTGATTTTAAAGAAAATAAAAGGATGAAAGAGCTAAAAAATAAATAATTTAAAATTTAACTAAAATCATCAGTTTTAAAACAGCCAAGCGTTGGAAAAGTTTATATCTTGAAATTAATTATTGAAATTTTAGGAAACAGTAAACAATGTTATTCAAATTTTAAAGATGCGTTTAAAATACGTACAAAAATTAAATAATGTATAAAAATTAAATAACTTCAACCTTCTGAGAATATCTTAAATAAATTTAATTATCTAAAAAAATAAACATTGAAAAATTCTTAATAAAAATAATTTTTTAAACGTGGCTAAAAATAATTAAAAAACATCTCATTTATTTATTACACTTTTTAGGTATAAACAATAAAATAATGTTTCGAACATTCCACGAAATTTCAGGTTTTCTTATCGTCAAATTTCTCAAATTCTTCTCTACTTCAGATATAATTTATAGGACTTTGGCTTGCCCATTTCTTTCGGCATTTGAAAAATATTTGAAAATACCATCTTTGTGAAAACAAATGAGGTGCGGTGGGTATCACAGATGGCTAAAATTATTAGACATTTCACACTCGTATTTTAAGATTATAATACTAACCAATTGTATAAAATCGTTCCCTCTGTTTTAATATTTAACATCCTTTAATTTTATGAAGTTATTTTTTGATAAAATGCTTCAAATTATTGAAAATGTATTTCATTATATCATCACAATTATTTAGGTGATTTCATTGAATGCATTTGATTTAAGTAATATATATTAAGCAAACAGTTTATAATTTGTTCATTCTTTGTGAATTTTAGTTACTTTATAAAAAGAATATTTTATTTTACTGTTCATAATATCTGAGTCATTTATTTAATGGATGATATATATGTATATATCTGCAGGCACTATGCCAAAACACCAAGCTGCCTTTTTTGCTATTTTTAACTAAACGCTCTTTCTAGGTTGCTTTCAAACGTTGAATGGCTAAAGAAAAATACGAATATTCTCTGAGAGGTATATAAAATTTATAACGTAAAATTATAACTCGAATTTTCACCATTACGTTCCCGAACTTTTAAATGCACTTACGATTTTGCAGATTCGTGATTTTGGCACAGTGTCGACGAATGATTAAAAACAAAAACGAAAACGAAAAATACAGTTTACTCAATAGCTAAAAAAATAACAGTTCTTAGTTAGATAAATAAACTTATTTTCCCATGCAAAGATTTCTGTGACTCACACTACTAAAATTCAGTCTTGGGAGAAAAGCTTCAGAAACACTTTGCACTTTGAATTTTGTAACACATTTAAATGTATGAGATGCAATAATAAAAAAATCTTTTTCATTTTTACATATCACTTTTCTTCATTGTAGAAAAGTCCACAAACTTCTCCACAAATACAAATTTCTAATAAAATAGACAATATAATTCAGTTTCTTTTCAAATTTCAGCCATCATTAGGACCACAATAGGCTTATGTATCGAGTATTCTTAAAATTCTTGTAGACCGAGAGAGTTTGCTGAACTCTGTTTATAGTTCGAAGAAGATTATCAGATAATAATAACCTGACAAAAAAAGGAAGCTTGTGGTCACAACAATTCTTGCTTTTGGTTTGAAAACACGTTTTGGCACTTATTGCTTTCATTCCGGCAAGCTAATCAAGAGTCTCAAAAGTTATAATCTGTTTGTTGGCAATAAAGGTAATTGACTTGCTGTGTTTTTTGTGATGTGGTCAGTTCAGCCTTTTACTGACGTTTCACTTCACCAGATTTAGAAAGTGGCCGATACCTCAGACCTGCAATGATAACTGAAATTAGACAGAAAAGCAAAAGAAATAAATAATTTATATATAAAAAAAATAGCTAATGCAGTTTATAAAATAAATGAAGACTAGAATAAAATAGAACGAAACGGGAAAATATGATTTACATAATATATTATACAAAATAGTTGTTTTAGACTATTGATAGAATCATCACATTAATGAATCTTGTCGGAAGTTATAAAGCTATACATTCTGTAAATAATTGTAACTACACATTTATTTTAAATTACTATTACTATAAAATAAAAAATATCCTAAAAATTGGGATATTAATTTATCTCAGTAACCAAAAAAAAAAAAAAAAAAAAAAAAAAAAAAAAAATCAGACTTTTTAATAAATTTTTTCCTTGCAGAAAAGATATAAATCTGCCGTAATGTGAGTGACAGAATTTTATTCCTTCATTCAACAAACTCCTTCACTTCAATAAAGATTACATATTTAAAGATAATAAAATATGTTTACACCCAGCAAACAAATTCTAAAACATACAATTTTCTGGAAGTAATGAAATGCATTTTAATTTACGCAGATACCGTAAAAATTAACTAATCCGAAAACTAATTAAAATTAAACCTAACCTAAATTTAATTAAACTAATTCTTTTTGATTTCCGCTGAGTTAAATAAAAAATTACATTCTGTTTTCTTAACGTAAAATGCAGTAACATGTTTTTAGTTTACTAAAATTAAACTACGCTTGATGCTAGTCACTAACTAGCCTACTCTGCGCTTGCTATAGTTACGAGCCATATATAGGCCTAGTGTTCATTTATAGCTTTTTAACCTTCCAGCACGCGCGTACGCGCAAAATTTACGAAAAATTCAGTTTTTAATGCACATTTTTCGCATGTTGAAGCTGAGACGTCTGAAGGTCCTTTTTATTCCTCCTTTCTACCCTTTCCAACACCATGGAATGTGCCAACAAGTCATTCCATTATGTCATTTAAAGTCATTTGACTTTTTTTTACTGAGGTTTTGTGCTACGTGGCAGCTTTTCGTAAAAGTTACGACACGCGCGTGGTCGAGGGTGAAAATTCGGAAAAAAATGTTTTCTCAAATATTTTGTAATTTTGTGTTATTAATTGTCGTGTATTATTTTAATTTGAATATATTTGGCTCTATAAATTGTATATCGGCTTACATGGCAAGAAAATATGTGCAACCAGCTGATTTTGCTCGCATTCTTCAAGAATTATCTGATGAAGAAAAGGAAGACAAAGAAACCTTTGGATGGGAGAACAATAGCGATTTCCATTCCTTATTTTCTTTTATTTCTATTTTTTAGAAATAAATAAAAATATTATAGTTAGTTTAAAGTGCGTTTTTGTAACCAGTAAGAAGTAAATTTCCTTGCAGGAGTAAGTAATGCTAAACTTACTTGTTTCCTACCAAGGTGTTTTCCTTTTTATTGTCTATACTTGCCTTTGATGAATATTAAAATTAGCTTTAAAATATAATTATTAAATAATAAATTTAAAATTTTCTATAATGGAATATATCATTGCATTTCCATCTCATTAACTTAAGAACTTGAAAATAATTTATTTATATTTGAATGTGATATCATTTGTATTTTGCAATAATAAGATTAATATTTTATTTCTTAACAAATTTATTATCAATATGCACTCATTTCTGTCGTTTTGCATGCCGAAAACGGTAAAATAGCGGATGTAGTAAGAAATATGACGCGCGCGTTCTCATGTAAAATTGCCAAGCGCACGTGCGGGAAGGTTCACAGAATACGTTTGTTTTCGTTTTGCGTTATTTGGAGAAGAAATAACGTAAAAACCTTTAAAAGAATATCTCCACATTTCCTCGAAGAATAAGTGGTCCCGAAATGTATGTCTTGTAACAACGGTTTGGATAATTTAAGTTCCATTGTACTAAGACTTTCAGAATTTATTTTCAGAATATTTGAATTATTTTTCAATAGTTGTAAGTGTTACCTGTGAGAATTTTTTATAATATTATTCACCGCTTAATTAATAGCCGATTAATTTAATTAGCTTTAATTATTGAAGAAGTTACGCAACATGTCAAACTCGTGTATGGGAAGCGATATTAGTAAGTACGTTTTTCCCTTGTAAAAATATTCAAATGCACAGGATAGTTTCATATGATAGTTTGCCTTAAATTTGGACAAATACGGTAATTTACTGTAAGAACCTGCCAGAAGAAGTTTAAGAACGAGCAATATAATTCAATGTTCACTAAATGTATCATGACTGATTGGAAGTATATAATAATAGTTCTCACTATCATTATAAGTCTGCGATATACGAGTTATTAGTATAGACATGAACTTGAAAAATTGCATTATTATTGCAGTAATAACTTCTGGAAGTAAGTGCGTTATGAAAGTAATTTCTGGATATAAAATCGTTTTATAGAATACGGAAAACCTAGTTTCCATTGGATTGTATTTCCCATCGTCAGAGCTCAAAACAATGCACTGGAAAACTTAATGAAAGTATTTCAATAATACTGTCATTTAAAACGCAAATTCCTGAAAAAATGTTTTCGGTTGTCTTATATCCCTAGATTCAGTTAACAATTTAAATTCTTATCCTTCTTAGCAATTTTGTATTTTTTAAAGTAATTGTTTAGTATATTAATTTATCAAGAAACAACAACCCTAAAAACATGAACTGAAATCTTCCAAACTAGGAATGCCACATTCGAATCCCACTAATCTCGCGAAAGATTCGAAATCAAAAATTTTGATCATGGCACGGTTCCATCATTCAAAGTTTCGAAATCCTTCCGTAAAATCATTGAATGTTTAAATTAAAACGTTGGAAAATTTTGTTATATACATCCAACAGAACTGAAATAGAATATGGTTGTTGAACTGTCGGGGAACATGATCATTAATATCACTTTGTGTTGCCTAGAGTGTCACATTCTTAATTTTCTGGACAGAATCTGGCTTACCAATGTTTAATATTTATTGCCATCAGCATTAAAGCAAAGTTATGAAGAAAACAATCTTCTCTGCCTATGCTTGATTTAAAAAGTTTCTAGAAAAATATAAAAAATATAAACTAATAACTCAAACATGTTTCTTAATATTACATTCAGAACACACGAACCTCGAGTTTCAGGAATTTCCGTTATGCACTTCATTTACAAACATTCAATGATATCTTTTTAATAAATATTAATGGATTTTTAAAAACTGTAATCTTAAATTTCTTTTCCATTAAATTTATATTTCAAACTTCGCTTTAATGAAAACATTTTAAGTTAATGTTCATTTCTTCTTCTATTTTTCTTATATGACGGAATGGAGAGATTTGAATATATTTTTAAGAATTGAAAAACAGAGGGGGGAGATTCTCCCATCTTTCTTAAAAACTGTGATCTACTTCTTATACAAGCAAAGAATGTTTTTAAGAAGAAAGGAAAATATGATCTAGATAATCACCAATTTTTCTAATTCAATACTAATTCATTAACAGCTGTAGAAGCATTAATAATAAGAAGAGAACAAATGACGTTTTCAATACAAACATTTTCGTTTTTTTTTTGTGTGCATTTTCGTTTACTTTGTATATTATTTAATGATATGAAATATATCAATTTATTGCAATTGTAAATATTCGCAACTGCAATTTTTTAAAAAATGAATATTAATGAGTGTTAGAAAACTCCGCAAAAAATGACAGCATTACATGAATACCAAGTAAAACTGTTTCATAAATGATCCATTCTTAATTAACACTTCCATACAGTTCTCTTCTGCAATCTTCCAACTATCTTAATCTTCAGGAACTAAAGCAACAATGGACTGAACATAAGCCACAACGTCCAAATTTCATCCCTAATTAATCCAATCGGTCAATTCATTAGGCGGAAACTTCGCCATATTGGTCAACCCGCGGATCATCTGATGGGGAATCCTAGTTTCATATGTTCTCTAATTAGAACCTGATAAGATTAGAGGAGGTGCAGAGGCGGTGACTTTCGATATTAGTTGTCAAGACTACCTACACGGAAGAGTACTTTCGGCGATTCCAAGGAAGTTTTGCGTCAGCGTTTCAGATCAAAATTCATATAGTATTTTAATCTTGAATTTAACAGAAGCTGCGCTGACACGTGCCGAAGAGATAAAATAATCAGTATTAGTTGCCATGTGCAGAATATTATTCTAGAACAATCGCAGCTGGGCGGATTACAATTTTCGCAGCTTACTCCTCTCCCAGAACTCAACAAAAGATGGTATAAAAGAAAAAACAATCAGTTCAAGATTTCGACGAGCTACAAACTTTAGACTCTAGGATATCTTATGATATGTAGCCAATAGCTGTACTAAACATCTGCAAATAATTACTTATTGGAAACAAAGGTATGAAGCCGACTTCTTAAGCAATTTCGATGTTGCTTGGGAAGAAGTCGATAAATTTGCTTTATATTCGGCAACTAATTCCTGGTTTTCCTTTAAATAATGATACTTCATATATGGGAATTCTAGTAGAAATCTCGGTGGATTCAATTCAGTTCCTAAAAGAGACTATTTGATGTCCATTTTAACTAATATATTCTGCAGAAACATTTTTAAATTTTAAAATGGCTCTTTTCTTGTTTTGCCAGGCGCACAGACTTTAGAATTTTATTTTAAATTCAAAATATTTGCCATGCACCTAGTAAAAAAAAACAAAAGAATCATCTTTTCATAAATCACCTTTTGATATCGATTAGGTTCGAACTTTGCGTATTACAGATCTAAAACAAGTCACCTCGTAATTCTAAGAATGGCGATGAAATGATTCAGACTGCTTTCTTACCACAGGCTTGTAATCCATACTAAATCTATCGAAGGGTCCCCTCAAAATATTACAACGGTATTTACTGATATACTATATCACAGGCATATCTCTAAACACAATTTATAGTGTATATTAGTTTAAAATAAAAGAATTGTGCATAAGAATGCATGAATTTATGCATACAAGGAATGAGATGAATGAGACTTGACT